AGCAATTGATGGTTTGTTCCACAATCTGTCCCTGGCCTTGTTTTGGCTGATGATAATGGACCTTTTCCACCGTCTCTTTCCACAGATGTAGTCAATTTCATTTCTGTGTATTCCATCTGGTGAGGTCCATGTGTATAGTCATCTTTTATGCAGTTTAAAAAAGGTATTTGAAATGAAAAAATCATTGGTCTTGCGTAATTCTATCAGGTAATCTTCAGCACCATTTCTATCATCAAGGCCATATTTTCCAACTACTGATCCTTCCTCTTTGTTTCTAACCTTTTCATTCCAATTGCCAGTGATTGTCAATACAACTTGATTGCATATTTGATCAGTTTCAGACTGAAGAAGTTGGTAGAATTCTTTAATTTCATCCTCACGGGCTTTAGTGGTTAATGCATAATTTTGAATAATGGTGGTATTACCTGGTCTTCCCAGTAGGTGCATGGATATTATCCTATCATAGACAGCATTATAGCTCTGATGATGAATGCAACACCTTTTCTGTTCAAGTTGTCATTCCCGGCCTAATAAACCATGTGATAGTCAGATTTACAATGGCCAATACCAGTCCATTCCAGCTCACTAATGCCTAGGATGTCGATGTTTATGCATCCCATTTCATGTTTGACAATTTCCAATTTTCCTAGATTCATACTTCATACATTACATGTTCCGATTATTAAAGGATGTTTACAGCTATTTCGCTTCATTTTGAGTCGTGTGCCATCAGCAAATGAAGGTCCCATGGGTTTTACTCCATTGGTGTCATCACGGTCAATTCTACTCTGAGGAGGCAGCTCTTCCCCAGTCTCATTTTGAGTGTCTTCCAACCTGAGGAGCTCATTTTCTGGCACTATATCTGACAGTATTCCACTGCTATTCATAAAGTTTTCAGTGACAAAATATTTGGAAGTAGTTCATCTCCCTTTCTTCCTAGTCTGTCTTTGTCTGGAAGCTCATCTGAAACCTGTCCACCATGGGTGACCCTGCTGGTATTTACAATACCGGTGGCATAGCTTCTACAATCACAGCAAGTCATAAGTCACCACAGTATGACAAACTGACAGGTTAGATGAGAAATAATCTACATGTCCATCAACAGTGGTGGTGGTGGTGGTAGTGGTGGTGTGTCATTGAGTCAGTACAGACTCATTATTGTTGTTAAGTACAGTCGAGTTCCAACTCATAGGGACCCTGTTTAAGAGATCCAAGGAGCAGTTGTTGGATTTGAATCACCAACCTTGAGGTTGGAACAGACCTTATGGTGTAGTGCATTACCCTGCAGCTCCATACCAGGACTCCTTAACAAGTACTCAAAAAATGATAAATAATCTACATGCCCAGTAGTGGTGGTAGTGGTGGTGGTGGTGTGCCATTGAGTTACCTCTGACTCATAGCAACCATGTATGGGGTCTCCAAGGCTGTAAATCTTTACAGAGCAGAAAGCCTCTTTTTTCTCCGAGCACGTGGTAGATTCAAACTGCCGACCTTGTGGTTAGTAGCTCAACTCATAATCCACTATGCTACCAGGGCTCCTTGTCTAACAAGAGCTCTCCCCTCAGCCTTCCCACATCCCCACTAACACTCTCTTCCCTCATCTGAGGCAGATGATCCTACCTTTTTTTACCCCCAACCCACCCAATGCCATTGAGTCAAGCCTAATGCATAGTGACCCCATGTAGGGTTTCCAAGGCTGTAGATCTTTCCAGGAGCTGAAAGCCTCATCTTGTTTTGCTTCACAAAAAGAAGTCATTACATGAAACCTTTCTTTCTTAAGCCAAGCCTAATGCCCAGTTGTATTCTACTTTGATCCTTACTCCCTGTTCTCCACTTTCACAGGTATAGTAATCTTAAACCTGTTCTCTGGACCCCTATGCATCCTGCCTGCTCAGAGTCTTTTTAGCATCATGAGCTTAGAAATGGAAACAACCTAAATGTCTATCAATAGATGAGTGGATTAACAAAATGTGGAACAGACATACAATGGAATATCACTCAGAAAGAAAAATGAAGTCTAACACATGCTACGACATGTTTGAATCTTGAAAACATTATGCTGAGTGAAATAATTACGTCTCTAAAGGACAAATATTGTATGATCCATCCGTATAAAATATTTAGAACAGGCAAATGTACATAGAACAGTATTTATTAGTGATTCCCAGAGGTGGAAGGAAGAGGAGAAGAGGGAGACATTGATTGCTTGGTGGGTACTGAGTTTTTGTTAATAGTAATGGGAAATTTGGGGAATAGATAGTGGTTGCATAACATAATGAACACAATTAATGTCATGGAATTGTACATGTAAAAAATGTTGAAATGGCTAATGTTTGTCTGTATATACTACCACATACACCAAAAAGCTGCCTTTCTTTTATAATACGTAATTTTCTACATAAATTACTATTCACCTTTCTCCATGCCTTCACACACGGTTCTAAAATGAGCTGTTCTACCTTAAATGTCTTCACCTTCTCTTTCTCTTACCAGACCACAGACCAACTCCTCCCACAAAAATTGTTCCAACAGAAGTCAAATCCAATGGCTCCTTTTATTTTCTGTTGTTGAGATCTTTTTATTTTATTTTACCCTCAGCTGTGTTTCACTATGTTGACCATTCCTTGTCTGGAAATACTGGCTTTTGGACACTATTATCTTCATTAACACGATGAATAACTGAATACCATGGAGATCATTCAGGAAAGGAGGGTTCAAAAGGCTCTGAGCTCAACAGGAGGGCGTGCACTTTTAGGGGTGGTGGCAATGCAGTTGTTGGACTTCAGATCCAGTAGAGGTCCATGATTCAAACCTACCAGCAGTTCCTCAGAAACTCCATACAGACTGAATAAGCATGGTGGAAGAATACAACTCTGATGCATACCTTTCCTAATTTTAAACCATTTAGTATTTTCTTGTTCTGTTCAAACAACTGCCTCTTGGTCTTTGTACAGGTACCTCAAGAGCACAATTAAGTGTTCTGGAATTCTTATAAAGATTACAGCCAAGAAAACCCTGCAGAAAGTATTTTTCTGAAACATGAGTCAGAATTGACCAGACAAATTAGCAGGCTGTTTTATCTGGTTTGTTGGCTATTTTGATGGCTTCTTACCCCTGAGAATTAGGGCTTTTGTTGTTGTTAAGTGTCTTTGAGTCAGTTAGTGACTCCTAACAACTCTGTATAGGGTTTCTGAGGAGTGAGTGATGAGTTTGAACTGCCAACCTTGTGGTTCAAACTGACCTTTCAGTCTGGTACATTATCCTACAATGCCACACCAGGACTTCAGATATGTCCCTTTGTTGTTGTTGTTAAGTACCATGGGGTCGGTTCTGACTCATAGTGACCCTGTACTGGGTTTCCAAGGCTGCAAATCTTTACGGGAGTAGAAAGCCTCATCTTTCTCTCACAGACAACTAGTAGTTTTGAACTGCCGACCTTAAGGTTAGCAGCCCAATTTGTAACCACTATATGTCCCTTGTTGTTGTTGTTAAGTGCCGTTTAGTCGGTTCTGACGCATAGTGACCCTGTATAGGGTTTCCGAGGAGCAGCTGGTGAGCTTGAACCGCCAACCTTGCAGTTCAAACGGCTTTGCAGTCTGCTGCATTAGCCCACAGCGCCACACCAGGAGTCCATATGTCCCTTTAGCAGAGTGAAAATGCCTTGAACTCAAGAATCCTTTTTAGATTAATTCACATTTGTGTTCTACAACAATTACCATAGTGCACATTGGAAAAATACTTAAAAAACAAATAAGTCCTTTTGTTTAGTTTAACAAGCCAAGTTCTATGCGGTTTGAATGCTTCTTGAATGTAATATACCATGATAGGTACAGAAGTGTAATGCAGAAAATATTTGTGTTATTTACATTTAATGAGCTGGAGAAGGAGAAACACCTCAATATTTACAAAGGATTTAGCACAAAGTTGAAATGATTCAATATACCTTAGATGAGTTGTACCAGCCTGGATATAAAAACTAGAATTCCAGGCATGTTCAGAACATGTTCTAAGTGTTCAGAGAAAATTTAGGTTCTCTTTACAGTAAGTTCTACAAATCCTTGTAGTTTACCTCCTTGGCCAAACACTCCAAACGACCCTTACTGTTGATAACAACCAGGTCTCCTAGGACCTTTGGAGTAAGCCTTTCTCCAGTCAGGCAAATAAATAAAAAAGAAATTCATGTAGTCCAGCGCATGTTTCTCCTTGTGTGGTTTCGTAAACAACTGGAAAGATGCTTAAAGGCTCTGAAACTCTCCAATCTTCAATTCTGTTTTAAAGGGTCATTTTAGAGAGCTTTCCACGTGTCTTAGGTATGCAATCAAACTGGGAATTCAAGCCTGAATATAACATTTAAATTGTAGCATCTGAAACAGCATTACCACTGTGTCATTTCCTGGGCATTATGATTTGTGGCTAGAAGCAGAAGTTTAAGGGGTTCGTAAATTAAGCTACAGAAACAAGAAGGCCTAGAATCACTTTTTCCCCCAAAATAAAGGAGAACCGGACTATTATCTTCAAGCCTCAGGACCCACGGTGCAAGGCCGCACAGGAAATTTCTGCTGGAGGCTGCAGATCCCCAGACGTTCAAGAAGGACTGGCCCAGGTGCTAAAGTTAATTGAAAGGCGGAAGGGAAGGGCCAGGTCTGAGCCACTCAGAGGCAGCCTGGGGCCGCCACTTATCTTTAGGAGGAGGAGCAGGTATTTGGGTGAGAGGAAACGTGAGCCCGGGCCGGCCAGGTGAGGGAATCAACCCACGCAGGATTCACCTCGGAAGGGGCGGAGCGCGGCTGCGGGTTGCCGAGTGGGAGGAGCCGGCCCTGAGACCCTGAGCCCAGGCGGAACTGGGGAGTCTGGTCACTGCCCCTAGAATCTGAATTAAAAGTCACCTTTACGGGAGGCGGAGGCGGGGCCAATGGCAGGACTCACCTGAGCCGGCTGGAAACCCGACCCAGGTGTACCCTCGTACAGGCCCCAGCGGCAGGCCTACCTGAGCAGCCCTCCGTCTGTCAGGCCGTCGATCTGTCCCACGCTGGCAGTCATGATCTGGAGCGCCACATCGCGGGGCGTCCACCAGCCGGACAACACCGCATTCACGCAGCAGCGCCTCCCAGCCTGGCAGCCACTGCTATCAGCCAGCATCGTTCTGCCGCTCTTCTTCTGCGTCGGCCTGGCCTTCATCGGTCTGGGCCTGGGCCTTTACTACTCCTCCAACGGCATCAAGGAGCTCGAGTACGACTACACCGGCAACCCGGGCACCGGCAATTGCTCGGTGTGCGCCGCAGCCGGCCAGGGCCGCGCGCCGCCGCCCAGTTGCTCGTGCACCTGGTACTTCTCGCTGCCGGAACTCTTCCAGGGCCCCGTGTTCCTCTACTATGAGCTCTCCAACTTCTACCAGAACAACCGGCGCTACAGCGTGTCCCGTGACGACGAGCAGCTGAGCGGGCTGCAGAGTGCGCTGCGCCATCCAACCAACGAGTGCGCCCCTTACCAGCGCACTGCCACCGGCCTGCCCATCGCGCCCTGCGGGGCCATCGCCAACAGCCTCTTCAACGACTCCTTCTCACTGTGGCACCAACGCCGGCCAGGCGGGCCCTACGTCGAGGTGCCTCTCGACCGCACCAGCATCGCCTGGTGGACTGACTACCACGTCAAGTTCCGCAACCCGCCACTAGTGAACGGGAGCCTGGCGCTGGCCTTCCAAGGTACCGCGCCCCCGCCCAACTGGCACCGTCCGGTCTACCAGCTTAGCCCGGACCCCAACAACACCGGCTTCATCAATCAGGACTTCGTGGTGTGGATGCGCACGGCGGCGCTGCCCACGTTCCGCAAGCTGTACGCTCGCATCCGCCAGGGCAACTATTCAGCTGGCCTGCCACGGGGCTCCTACTTTGTCAATATCACCTACAATTACCCGGTGAGCTCCTTCGGCGGCCACAAGCTCATCATCTTCAGCAGCATCTCGTGGATGGGTGGCAAGAACCCTTTCCTGGGCATCGCCTACCTGGTGGTTGGTTCCGTCTGCATCCTCATGGGCTTTGTCATGCTGGTCGTCTACATACGCTACCAAGACCAGAATGAGGAGGATGAGGAGGAATGATTCTTGCTTCTTGCAAAAACTCTTTTAACTGTCCCCTCCTCTTCTCCCACACAATTCCGACCTCACCTCCGTTTCCCCTATCTTAGGGATGAGGTGCCCAGGGTGAGGAATCCCATCATTAGATTTTTAAAGTCTAACATTTGAGAGCAGAATTTAGAGACTTCTATTCAATTCCATGTGGAAAGCACAGTCTGAGACCTGGAGATATTACTTAACTCATTCAAGATCAAGCAGCTGGTTTCTGACTCCTGACTCTTGAATCTAGAGCTTTTGCCACTAAATTCCAATGGTTTTCTTTTCTCTCTCTCTCTCTTTTCCCCGAGGGGAGGTCTTGAGTGAGACTCACAGATAACCTACAGAAACATGGAGGCATATGGGAGAAGGGATAAGAGGCACCCAGAGAGTCTGACACAAGGCTGAAATCCTTGAAGCTGTGTTTTAATAAGCTCCTCTGAAAAGTTCCATATTCCTTCAAGCTTGGCAATCGCTGCCTTGATCAGGAAGCAAATAGAATACTGGATGTTTGCCATGTCTTCATGGATCTGAGATGGGGGTTCTTAAACTGTTAGAGCAATTCACCTGAGTCCAGGTTTACAGGTAGCAATTTGTTCCCAGGAGCAGTGACAATCCCCGGGTTGTAGCTTTGGTTGAGCACACTCCCTTGAACATATTGTGTGCTATCGAAGTTGATTCCGATATACAACAACCCTATAGGACAGGGAAGACAGGACAGATTACTAGGGTCCCATAAGGCTTCCAAGGGACCCATAGAGTTTCCTAGACTGTGATCTTTACCAGAGCAGATTTCCAGATCTTTCTCTTGTGGAGTGACTGGTGGGGTCAAACCACTTGCCTTCTGGTTAATAATCCAGCACTTAACCACTGTGCCACTAGGGTTCCTTCCTATGAACTGAACATGTGGTGATGGTAGTTGTGTGCTGTGGAATCATTTGCAACTTGTAGCGACCCTGTATAGGGTTTCTGAGGCTGTACATCTTTATGGAAGCAGAAAGCTTCATTTTTCTCCTGCTAAGGAGTCCTGGTGTGGTGCTGTGGGTTAGTATGTCAGACTGCAAAGCCATTTGAACTGCAAGGTCGGCGGTTCAAGCTGACCAGCTGCTCCTCGGAAACCCTATACAGGGTCACTATGGGTCGGAATCGACTCAACAGCACTAATACCAACAACAAGGAGCCCTGGTGTGGCGCTGTAGGTTAATGTGACAGACTGCAAAGCCGTTTGAACTGCAAGCACTTAACAACAAATGGCAGGTAGATTAGAACTGCTAAACTTTTGGTTAGCAGCCCAACTCATAACCCACCGTGCTACTAGAAGATCTAAATGATTTCTGGCATGTCTGGTAGCGTAGTGGTTACGAATCGGGCTGCGAACCTTAAGGTCAGTGGTTCGGAACTACCAGCCGCTCCGCGGGAGAAAGATGAGGCTTTCTACTCCCGTAAGGATTTACACCCTCGGAAACCCTGTACAGGGTCGCTATGGGTCGGAACCGACTCGAAGGCACTTAACAACAACAACAACAATTCTTTATTAAATTCAGTGGTTTATAAATTTGCAGAGTAAACTTCATCTCAAATAATTTAAAATTTAGGTTTTTTTTAAAAAGTAACATTTTACTAGTTACTTTGTAGAAATTTGAAAATTCACGATCAGCTTGTGTAACTCCAAGGGAATGTTTTAACCTTAGAATCAGAAAGCTGGAAGAGATCTTAAAAGGAAAGTGATGTGCTTAAAGCCATAACTGCATTCTTATGACTTCTGGCTCAGTCCTCTGTTATTTGATTATTATTTTTTAAATATCCTTAAAGAGAAATGGTTTCATTCATACCTTTTCCCTTGGATCAGAGAGAAAATTTCATTTTAATCCATGTTCTCAAAGGAAGGATGTTTGCTCCTCGTAATTGTGTTCAAATGAACGCTAAGGAATATAGAAAGTTCTGTGTGGAAACTGGAATGTTAAGAATCATTTGAATCTCTGAGATAATTTTAAAATCTTGACTACTGTATAGTCATTCTCAATATGTATAAAGTTATTGTAAGAAGTAGTAGAATATTAAAAAACAAAACAATAACTTCCTTTTCTAGCAAAACAACAAAAGAATTTAAGGAAAAGAAAGAAAAGGCCTAACCTTAATGATACCATCTTAACCAGTTTATTTGCTGAAAGCAAAAGTTTTGGGTCGTCTGTCAGAATTTTTCAGAACCTGCTATTACAATTATTTCCAATTACTACTGTTTGTTCGCGCCTTTTAAGGCATTGCAAGATGGTGAAATGTTTTTTTGGTAGTCAAAGGAATATTGAATCGTAGTGAGCAATTTGCATTGAGTTTATTTTGTTGTAGTTTTTTGAAAATTAATAATTGATAGTCCTCATGCGTATTTTCAGATCTTTAGGCATAATCAATATCTAAGAGATTCTGTCCCATTATACATAAACCTTTTTCTTTTTTTAAGTTGGCCCCTCAGCTCTTGAATGTGAAACAATTGTATTGTCAGATCATGTGCCATTAGGCTATAAAATAATGGTTACTGTATATATACAGAGTAATTTTTATTTATTATGAGTATATCGTACAGCAGCCCACAAGTCAGTCTTCCTTTATGTTGAGTAAGAGAGTTTACTACCTTTATTTTTGTTTAAAACTACTTACTTGAGAACCACAATGTATTTCACTACTATTTTAAATCAATCTATTGCTGCATTTTTAGGCTATTCAATCTATTGCAATAAAATCTTAAATGAGATCATAAAACTTAAGTTATTCTGATTAAAATACTGAGTCTGGTTCTAACCCATTCTCTAGGCTACTGAAAGCGAATAAAGGTTGTGTTTGTTTTACCTTTGTTCATGTTGGCTTAAATCTTTTGAACTATGATCTTAAAGGCACAGACAGTATTAATTTCTTTGCTCATTGGTTAGCAGATTTATGTTGCATCCAGAAAACATCTTTTAGACTAATGCTCAGTTAAAGTGAACGCTGTCTTTCATTATTAACTTCCTGAAGCAGAATTTTAATTTCTACCAACATGTAATATGAATTAGATAGTGTTCAACTAATGTTTGAATTTCAATGTAGTCAAAATTTACTAAAGATGTGATCATAATAGGCCTTAGTTCTACAACTTAGAGATCTTCATGGGAAAATGTTTCATGTTTTGTTCTACAAAGCTTCAGAAAGTTTAAAACTGAAAATTGGAAAACATTTTCCCATGATGATCCCTGTTTGGATTTGGAGTTTAGTTGGACTTGAATTCCCATATTATTCAGTAGGCCCTCCCTAACTGAAATTGTGCCTTCCAGAAGTAAGACAGAAAAGAGTGACCTCAACAATTTGACTGCAATGTGCTTTGATCTACCTTGTAAAGTAAAACCACAAACTTAAGACCAAATAAAGTGACCAGGTGGAGTGCCCAAGTCAATGATATAACAAAAAAAGAGTCTTTTCAGGTATCTCCACAACAATTTATTGACTCTGCAATTATTAAAAATCAGAGACAGAAAATATTCTGAGACTTCCTTTAATAGCAAGTAACATTTCATACTATATAACTGTTGCACATAGCATCTCTGTATGTTGGAACTGACTTGACTGCACCTAACTATATGAGGAGACTTCAAAAAGTTGTTTTCTTTGTGGCTAAAACATGATTGGTTGATTTTTAGTTATGAAATTTTAAAAAGAAAACGAACCTTCCATTCCCCCCCCCCCAGGAAATTTTCTCTTAATTATCCTCTAACAAAAACAGAATCTTTAAAAAACATTATTGATAAAGCCATAGTAAAGCTGATTCATACACATTAAGGTCCCTAAATTGTCATATATGAGAGCAACACTTTGTGTAGAGAATCTTGGAAAATCCTTCATAGTATTGTCTCTGTATGTACAGGGTTTTCCCATTATTTCCCTGATGAGATGATCAATGTCTATTCAGACAGAGATACTTCCCTAATAATTTGCCACCTTGCATTACAATTCCTGTCATTGGCTATATTCATGGAAATTAGGATAAAGAAAATTCCTGGGTCATGAAATCCAACAAAGGTTGTTTGAGGGGGCTGTAGAAATTAAGTAAATTCCAACTCATGGCACCCCCACATACAACGGAACAAAGCTCACCAGTTGCTCCTTGGAAACCTTATACAGGGTTGCTATGGGTTGGAACCAACTCTGTGGCATTTAACAACAACAACAAAATCTTTATAATTATTGGAATGCTTGAGTCCACTGTTGTACCTGCTGAGTATTTTGAGTGCCTTCCAACTGAAGGACTCATCTTCCAGCACTGCATTGGGCCATATTCTATTATATATGGAGTTTTCCTTGGCTAATTTTTGGAAGCAGATCACCAGGCCTTTCTTCCTTAACTATCTTGGTCTAGAAGCACCACTGAACTGGTCCATCATGGGTGACCTTGCTGGTCTTTGAAATACTGGTGCAGCATTTTCCAGTGTCATAGTAGCTTTGAGTATCATAGCAACATGCAAGTCACCATAGGACAGCAAACTGCCATATGGGTGGTGGAGAGAGATAGGAGAGGAGGGAAAAAGAGGTCTGAAGCATGAGGCATTTTCTGGGTCAGGAGGGCCCATAGGCAGGGGAGGGAGGGTAGGGCTCACCTATAATACTTACTGCTGACAAGGTCTTTGAGAAACTCACTAAGCAGCCAGTGGTTCACCTCCTTATGAACTCCTCAGCTTGTCTTTTTGATCAATTTGAGTGTGATTTATCTTTTTCCTTAGAAGCAGAAGGTATTACTGTCAAGAACCTTAGCTAATAGCCTTGCCCTCCACATTGAGCTCTAACTAAGTTCCCATTAAAGTGGCTGAAGTCTTACATTATTGCTGAAAACTGTAAATGATGTGTCATTAATAATGATACTTTGTTCTTCTAAAAGACCTTTGTTCTGAAAGTCCAAGGTGCTTAACACTATGTGGTTTCATTAATCTTATCTATCAAGATGCATGAACTTTTAGTAAGTCATCAAGATTAACATGTAGAAATATATCCTTGTCTATTTTGCTCAGTTTTGTTCTGAATCTTATAATAGCAGTTGGGAAAAAATTAGTGTTGCTTCTGG